TCATCATAATGCGGATTTACCTTTTCTGTCGTCTTCCAATGATTTTGCATCTTTGTAAATCCTTTATTTTATCTTTTATGTGGAAAAATTAGCTAATTTTTCAGAAATTGTTCGTGTTTCCTCGGCATTAAGACTTTATTTTTTTACTTAAATTTCAAAAGCAACGATACCAGATAAATATATTCCTTAAAATAAGCAATATCTTTTTTTCATAAAAAGGAAAAAGTGGTAGTTTAAGTGCGTTTATTATTTACTCAAAGAATTTGGAGTTTTCTATCATATGTTAATAATTAATGTAATCAGCATATCACGCAGCTGCCAGTTTTTCTGTATTTTAAGTTTTAAAAAATATATACTTAAAGTGGTAGTAAAACTAGCTGTGGCATTACTACTTTTCTCGTCTCTTTAGCATGAGCTAAAGCGAGTTAAATTTACTTCTGTTGCAAGAGCTTGTGGCGAACTACCACTACGAAACTTAAACATCGATTCACTGGTATATAAGCCATGCTAGCTGAATTATTTGGTGCCTTTTAACAAATGAAAGTGCGCCCAATTAATAATTTTTTGCATACCCTCCAACTTAAGAAGATTTTGAAAATAATTCTTTCTAGTGGTAGCGAACCAAAGTAGAAATTTTCAAAGCAAATGGATATCTCATAAAACTCTTATCAGAACTTAAGAATCTAGCCATATGGCCTGCACTTTTATAAGTAATAGTGGACAAGTTACGCTAAAATTAATTTTTTTTAAATATTAAGACATTAATTTTGCTACCGTCTGAAAAGAAGATTTCTGAAACTACGGAAATTCCGTAGCAGTTGGAGGGTATGATTTTTTGGAACACAAGCTGAAAGTAATAAAATAAAAAAGTTTAAAATTAAAGTGGTAGTCACCATTAATAAATATTAAATTATTCTTATCTAGCCCACTTTTATATCTCTCGTCAATGGTCAGAAATAAGTTAATAGTTCTTCTTTTGATACAATTGCATACCTGCCAATTTTCACTCTTTCCGAGAATGGATTTTCAGAGTGGTTGTAACACAATAAACGAAAAACAATCTAACTCAAAAATATATTTATATTTTGATTCCGTTGAAATTCGCTTGCTCTTGGATTATTATGCTTTGATATATTTATTATAATTATTTATATTTAGTGGTGGTCAAACTCATTTATAATTATCATTATAATTCAAAAAGTTAATTGGAATAACCTGAGTATTGCTACCACCTTAAATATGAAAATAAAATCTTCCGAAAAATCCGGAAGAGTTGGCAGGTATGCAATTGTATTTCTATTAACAGGAATCTCGATATTTTTTCTTAATGGCATCTTTCTCAGTGCAGTGTTGTTTGAAAGCAATTTTTTCTTGTAACCAATCAATACCTTTAAATTTTTTTTGTTCGATATTATTTCGAAAAATAAATAATTAAGATTAAATAATGCAGATTAAAACAAGCTTTTCTTGCATTCAGTAGAACTGTGCAAGATAACTTACGCTTCTGATTCCCTAACTTTAATTTCTATTTCATAAATAATTTAAGTTATGCCGCCCTGGGATAAACTCAGTCTTTGCGACCCCTTTCAAGATTGTACGGGAACTTATTGGAATCACTTTAAAACTTAAATCTATTACATTCAATTTATTTTTTACAAATTTCAATTAGAATAAGATTTTGCAACTTTACGTAATGGTTTTTAAGTAACTTCATAAATTTTCGTTCGATTCGGTTTAAAAGTAACAGTGTATGTTACAAAGTAATTTCCATTACACTTGGATGCTTAAAATTGCATTTATTGTTCCTACTGAAAAATAAGCGTTTTTGAAAAGATATTTTTCACTAAACAAAACTCCAATTTGTGAAAATTATAAAAACAATAATAATAAAAACCTACGTCCGAAACAAACTATAATATTAATAGACATCTCGATCAATTTTAGATAAATCGAATAAAATTTTAAAGAAGTTATGGAGCTTTCAATCAGCAAATGAAACAAGGGTAATTTGAAAGAGAAAAGTATTTTACTCTAGAATTTATCTTTAAATTATTTTTCATAAATTCTGTGCACCTTTAAGGTTGTCCCCCTGGAACATATATTTCCTGTCACCCGCTATCTACATTACTGTATAGTCTAAACATTAATATGCTACCAATTTACGTTTAATTTAAAATTGAAGATCGTATCATTTAAGCTCTGCAGATGGCAGCACTGGATCGATACTTACTTTAATGTCTTAAGTTTTTATTTTCTTAAGATTTATTACGATCGGAACATGATAATACAGCATCAATAACAAATTAATTTTCGAAAGTTCAGCTTAAAATCAGAGAGTCAAAACAAAATTATATCTAATTGTTTTAGTTTTCGTTGGAAATATTATTTAAAATTTAATTTAATTCCTCCAACAAACACATTTTTAAAAATATCAAAATAAATTTTATATTTTCAACATTATCACCATACATATTTGTTTTCAATGAAACGTTTTTTTTTTACAATTAAAGAATGTATAAATAATTTTCTAAACTAATTTCAAAAAAGAAGCAAATTTGCATTATCGGTTCTTCTGATAGCTGATAACTATGATTATGTAGAGTTAGCTTTTAACTTTTATTTTACTATAAATTTTATTTAAAAAAAAATATATTCATTTCTAATAAAGGCTTTTAAAAAAATATCAAACATATTATCAGATCGTTAGACAACATTTTAATTTAGATATTGCTTAAAATGAGAACTCTTTGATGCAGAATTTTTATTAAACATGTTTTTAATTTCTTTTCATTATTTTGCATTAATTTATTTTAAAATAAATAAGAACATATTGTATTTAGCATTTTAATAAGTTATGGTTATGAAATACAGCTTGAAACAACGGAGTCTTTTACAGCATTAAAGGTAAAAACTTTCAAGCAATAATTTCTCAAATTAGCACTTATTTGCAGTTATTTAGATCTAAGAGAAACAGTTATTCATCATTAAAATTTATTTAGTTTACTAAATCAATTATTGATACATTTTTAAATATGAATAAAAAAAATACTTTTTTTGGATTTTATCTTTTTGTACAAATGCAATCCCGACAATTTAATAGATTTTTTTTGTAAATATTTGATTGTTTTTTATAATTAAAAAATTCCGAAATATATTTTTGCTTGTAATTAAAGCGTCAAGAAAAATATAAAAGAGATACCAGAGTCTTTTCTGCGTCGAAGGGTTAAAATTTGAAAGTTATATACAATTAAATTATACAACACAAAATTATATACAACTAATTTTTGTTTCAAAAATTGTTTTAAAATTTAATTTAATACATCCGACAAACATATTTTTAAAATTATCTTGATTAATATGATATTTTTAAAATATCCTCGCACATATTTGTTTTCAATAAAACGTTTTGTTTATCATTAAAGAATGCTTCCATAATTCGCTTTAAAAAAATAATAATTATATAGACAAAAAATTATGGTTACAGGTCCTTATGATAACTCATAAACACGTTTATGTTGAGTCAACTAATGAACATTTTCATTATAAATATTATAAAAAATATTTAATAACTGTTTTTAAAAACAATATTATGCTTATTGTATCGTCGGAGAACATTTAAATTTAGGCACAGCTTGAAATGAACGTTTAAGAAACTAGATATTGCTTGAAATGCATGAAAACTTTATTCAGACGAAGTGTTCATAAATCAACACAGTTTGATAAATAGTTGTTTGGAAAGAATTTACTCAGAGCGCCTCGTGCATGTATAGAAAATGGACGAAACTTATAAATATATCACTTGAAACTAACTTTATAGCGCATTTCATATGTTATGTCCATCTTTTCTTCAAAAAAAAAAAAAAAAAAAATTAGGTATCTTTAGTATAGGAATTTTTAGAAGCATATTTTTTTCTGTATTTTGATCTCAAAAAATTTTCTTCTAATACGCATACTAGCTAAAATAATAGACCTCAACTTTAACACGCATTTTTAGCTATGTCCATTTTTTTCAAACACGCGTTTTAATTTACGTGTATTTTCTTTGAAACGCATTTTGAGATAACCATTTTTTTTTAATACGCTTACAAGCTATGATTTCCCTAAACGCGCATTTGAAGCTATAGCTAATGTCTGTTTTCTTCGTTGCGCATTGTGAGATGCATAGTTTTTTTTTCCTAAGGCGCATATAAGCTATGTCTCTTTCATTTGTTGTAGTTGTTGTTACTAATGTCAAATGTCAATATCAGCAAGCCTGTTAAGAAACCAAGCGAATTTTAAGGCAGAGGGTGCGTTTCTTATTTTTCAGGGGCGTCATCTACTTTCAAGCATCTATGGACTTCAGCTACACACACGTCACAACCCGTTTTACTGGAAGGAACCATTTATTCATCCATATATCGTAATTTTGACCTGAACCAGGAAATGTCCCTTTCATTAAGCAAACATATTGGGCTACGTTCATTTCCTTAAACTTGTATGTTAAGTTATAATGTCTGTTTTCTTAGTTACGCATTTTGAGCTCTATCAATTTTTTCAAACGCGCATTTTAAGCGATGTCCATTCTTTTGCCAAGTCCGTTTTGTCAAACGCAGATGTCCGTTTTCTTGAAAGTGCAATTTGAACTTTGCCCAAAATAAAAAGTTTATTGACATTAGGTTAATTATTTGTGCAACTTGTAACTGAAATACTATTACTTAAACAGGAAAAAAAAATTCACAGGATTTCAAATTATGACGTTTTTGCTTCATAGAATAATCAAGCGACAACAAAACTAAGAGACAAAAAAGGGAGAATAACCTTCTAGTTAGCAACCTTTTCTTAAAGTAAGATTGTTTTTATTCCACCAGTATAACAAAAAGATGATTCACAAAATATAACTCCAGCCTTTCTGTAGGGGTTTTTCATTGCACCGAGTCGAGCCTTTTTTTTGAAAAGACGCCAATCTAAGTATATCCTCCAAAATCTTCCAGCACAGACACACCGCAAAGACGTTTAAAAATATATCCCCACTGCGTTTTTTTTTCTTGTTGATTTCCATGGGATGCTCTACCGTCTTTTAGTATAGGAAGAAATTTGTCGACATGGTAAGAGAAGTAGCCACAATCTAACGTTGCTGTATAAAAGTGTCTTAAGGTCAAGGGATTGTTATGATTGGCTACTACTTGATGGATTTTTGTATGTTTTGAAGCCAAGTGTTTTACGTCATTTTATATCTGTGTTGTTTTTTGTGATTTGTTCGGAGATTTTTATGAAATTATGTATTTATAAGCAATGTTAAATGTGGATACTTCTTCTTATCTTGATTAATTAAATTATAAATATTAAACAATAATAATTGGCGCTTGCCGGAACTTCTGGAAAGAACAGGGTAAGTTTGACTTTAGTATGCAATTTTCAGCACTTACAAATTGTAATTTTATACATTTAATGTTAGAGATCTGTTTATGTACGGGTTTTTTTTTCTCCAAAAAAGTAAAAATTGGACGTACAGATTTTATATTATTAGAACTTATATTGAATAAACAATATGGTTCAATCAACCAGGACTATAAAGATATATTGCCCAAGATTATCGAATGAGACAAAAATTTCAATTGGTCATGTATTTTTACCCTTACACGGCCTATCGGGTTTGTAAACAATTAAATGAGATTAAACGCAACTCAAGTTTCGACAAAAATCTATTATATTTGTTAAATATTAAAATAAATTTAACTAACTTAATATCAATTAATAAACAAAGCTAATTTATTCAATATTATTTATTCCCTTTACCAATTTATAAAGGCATAGCCAGATCATAGATCATAGCCTCCAACTCATCACAGAATTTTCGTATTTTCAGAAACAAATCTCCGTTGTAATAGTAAAAATAATGCTCTCATATTTCATTAATTTAGAATTAAGAAAGTTTTGCCAAGCACTATTGATAAACAATTTGAACAATTATATTGAGAACAGGTAGGTGTACTTTGATTCCGATAATAGTTTTATAAAATTCTTTTGGTCTTATGCATTTCTGTCATGATTCATGAGCACGCAAAAAATCATTTCTCTAAATCATCAAATATATCCCGATAACCTTGCATGAAAAATTCAAATTGCAATGTAAAGTTTGTTTATACAACTTGTCCTACTTGTTTTTTTCTTTTGCTGTTTTTTTTTCTTTCTTTTTTTTTTTACACTTTCTGGAAAAAATGAAGCTTTATCTTCGAATAAGTTTCTTTAAATGAATTGTTAAACATCCTAAATCAAATCGTGCAAAAATGCAGCTTATAGTTAATAATTTATTAATAATACTAAAAAATTCAGATCCTTGAAGTTAAAATAAGACTATAGGTTATATAGTTATGCAATGTCTACAGATCAATAGTAATTACATTCATGTATTTCCTTTAACGTGCATTAAAAAAGAAGTTAGAATTTAAAAGTTTCACTCGGCATGTATTCTGTTAGACCTGAAAATGTAAATTTTCAGTTAGTAGCCGGTTTTTGATACACTCTAATAATTTAATAGCCATTTTTTGATCAAGCCTAATTAGTTAGTGACTGATATCGATAGGAACTTTGCATTTAATAAGCACTTTTTGCAAACTTTTTATTTCCTTGGATGAGATTATATTTTTTAAAAAAAACTCATATTAGAAATTATCTGCGACTTTAAACACTCTCAATTCAACACTTTTAACTCAACAATAAAAATTATATAAATATATGACTAAATTGAGTTAAACATACTGACTTTAAAGAATTTTATTTAAAAATAATTTTGCAGGCAAAATGAATTGAATGCATACATTATAACTTTGAAATATTTGAATTGTTAAATAACTCTCCTTTCACATGAATCTTTCCACAATAAATTGAAGGATTCTGAAAGATCAAAATTTTGAATGGAAGCATCTGACATTTTAATGAAAATTCGATTTTCTAGTCTTTCGGCATTTATGTACTTTTATCATTAAACGATCTTCAAAGTAAAAAATTCTTAAAAAAATAATAAAAAAAAAAAAAAAACGATGTAGCCGGTTGCTAACTTAATTTCAGTCGCCACTTTTTTTGTTGAATAACCATGTGGCGAGTGGCGAGCGGTTCATGTCTATATTCTGTTGAAAATAACATACCCAGCAAGGCATGTAAAAAAGATTGTTTACCATAATATATTAATGCTAAAACAAAAAATGTGTGTCAATAGATATAGAATTTTAATGCTAATATGGTGAGTAGCAGACACTATCTGTGTATGGGCATTACTTCCTAAAATGTCAAATCCTAAAATTTCCAAGTCTGTTTTTTCTTCCATGTATTATTAAAGTGCTGTGACACAATACTTAAATAGAGCATGCATACAAATGCATGAAACAGTTCTCTTTTGACTTCGTAATATTAAGCAATCAATGCTTACCAAAAAAAAAGTTATATATATTACATAAAGTTAGAGTATTATTTAATAAATAAAAACTGATTATAGTTTATTACGAATTGTTATCTTGAGCGTGATAAAGATTTTCAACATCGTAAAAAGTATTTGTCTAATACTAATAAAAATTAAGAAATAGTAATAAAGATTTATCTTTGTAGTGAAAAAGATTTGTCATTTCTAATAATTTTTTGAATTTTTTGATATAAGTATTTATTTGCGATTTTAAATTTATTTTAATTTAGTTATTTGTGGTGAATGATTTTGAACATAGTAAAAGCGATGATTGTAGAAATACATTGTGAAATAATTATCTATAATATTTCGAGCATTTTTATAGAAGAATTATGATTCAGTGAAAATGATTAAAACAGAGCAGACAACTATTTTAACGAAACTAATGGGCACGACAGCCCACGAAAGGCCAACCCTGTTTTCTTGATTTTGGGCTCTGAGGTGCAGGTGATCCGATTGGGTGGTCAGCCGTTTAAGCCCCGGAGCGTTTAATCCCTAAGTACTCTTGATTCTCATTTTATTGACCCACAGAAGGGATGAATGAATGGCTGAGGCAACTATTTTAACTTTTTCATTTATACCTTAAACTACTTTTAAGTTACAAGAAGGTTATTTTTATTTCAATGCTTTATGAGGTTTTTGAGAGATCACTAATTTCAAATCTGCAATCGGTTTCTCTCAGGAAACTAAATTTTTTATGAGATTTAATTTTATGTTCCTCACCAGCATTTTTTAAAATTCACTTGAGTCAATATTTAAGTGCCCCACTTCTCTCTTACGCAAGAAGTGGTAGGGAAAAAACGACAATGCGTTAAGTCATATGTTTTGTGTCTTAAGCGTTACTTTCAAACGAGAAAACAAGTGCATATGTATATTCATAAACGTATACATTCTTTTTAAAGTATACATTCTTTTTAAACTAGTGCATTCAGATAAAATTCAGTTTAAAATGAGATATGACATTTCAGTTCATGATGATACACACATTCTTGCCAACTTATTCCGACTTATCACAATATTTTAATGTGTATATTAAGAGAGATATTAAATTTCATAATTCAACATTTTGTTATAGATTTAATAAATTTAATTTAGAATGATTCTGTCCACCGCTACATAAAAACAACTTAAAACAACCGAGTTGGCAGCTATGGTACGTTACAGTCATATGTTTTTTTTTTTCCTCAAATGTTATTTTCTTAAGTGTCGAGGGAGCAGACAAGTGTATATAGGTGTATATAAATTTAAACGTTCTTTATAAACTTGCAAATTCAGACAAAGAATAAAGTAAAAAGATCATTTTGAAAAAAAAATCCCTAGATTTCCGAACAAAACTAATTTTAGATTTGAAATCCCCGGCATCCGGATTAGGTAAAATCAATATAAATCTTGTATAAATGCAGAGATTTTTATTGCTATGGATTCTCCGTTGTTTTTTAACCCTCGTAGAACAGGCGACCCAATTTCGGGTTTACGACAACTAATGTTCAACTCCGTATCCTTGTAATTTCAAATCCGATCCAGAAGAAAAGGGAGCTCCTAAATCAAGTGTTGGGAGAAATTTGCCTTCGTGGAGAACTCTTCGGAAGAACTTATCCGCAATTACATGACATGAAGAGAAAAACGACGAAAACCTCCCACTGTTAGCTTGATGGCAAGGGCACTCTAACACTTAATCCGTCTAGCACTGATGATATTTTACGTCAGAACTGTGGTCGGTGCGAGCAAGGTGAAGAATTCGTATTGATCAGACATCGCAGGGTTTCGAACCCGGTTTACCTCATTGAAAGGTGAACGCTCTATCTTCTCTGTTGTTTTATATCTTTTTATATCCGTCGTTGAACAAACGACCCAATTTTGGGTTTACGACTATTAATGTTCTACTCCGTAGCCTTACAGTCTTGAACCAATCCAGAAGACAAGGAAACTCCTGGATCAGTACCCCCAGAGGTATTGATTTGTTATGGGGACATGGAGGACTTTGCGATTTAACGTGCATCAGTCACCATTTACTACACTGACCGTCTTCGACCGGCGAGGATCGAACCCACGGACTCTTGGACATGGGTCCAGTGCCCTACCAACCAGGCTATCCCGACCTTCTGCCACTTGGAATTGAAAATAGGCTTAGAAAATAGGTCCCCTGATATAAACTTTACCATTAAATATACATTTTAGTAATGGCCTACAGTCAAGAAAAAAGCTTAGCAATTTGCTCTTCGTGGAATCGTGAAAATACTGGTTGTAAAATCATTAATATGTAGCTTATTTTAGGGGGAAGTGATATGTTTTGGCAAACAGAGGAGTAAATAACACCCCCGCATCCGCCGCCATGCGGTAGTGAGGGACACGAGATTTGAGGGCGCGCAATCCAGAAATAATACACTAATGACAAGAGTGAACAATCGGCGGCTCGCCAGCTTCTGATGTGTGGCCCAAGACAGCACCTGAACATAACACAGAAAAATTATTATAATTTTTATGGAAATTAAAAATATCGGAAATTTTGAAGAGCACATTTAAGTTTTTGAATCATCAAATCTAAATCAGGGCAGTGCTTCGATCGCTGTTTTCTGTGATTATCGCTACGATTTTCCGAAGTTTCAAAAATCACATTATTTTTAATTCGACAAATTATGGTGCTTGAATTTCAAATTTTAGTAATTATTTTAAAGCTCTTTATTTGTGTCCAGTTTGTATATTAACTAAAGTTAATTCATGTGTTTTTTCGATAGTATTTTCGGTGGCTATTATCGGATTTCAACGTGTTTTTCAAAATATCAATCTTTTTAATGCATACATAATAACCACTCTCGAGTATTGTAACGTTTATCTCAGTATATTTTTTCTTTTTTGTTTTTTCAGCACTTATTGCTACGCATTTCCACATGTGAACTTGTAAATCCCGATTTTTTTTTTAATTTGTATTAATA